CCCCCCCGCGGGGGGGCCCCCCCCCCCGGGCGCGCCCCACCCTCGGCCTGGGGGGGCGCCCCCGACAGGTAATCGCTTTATGCGCCTCCTGTCTGGCGCCCGCAGGCGCCGGAATCGTCCTCGGCCGCGCACGGCGCACGCCGGTCCTTTTCCCGCCTTTCTCTCTCTCTCTCTCTCTCTCTCTCGACCCCTTTCCAGCTCTCCCCGCGCCGGTGGAAAACAAAGAAGCAAAGCGTAGCGACCGCTTGAAGACTCTTTGTTCTGCCGAAGCGCCCACCTTCGCTGTGCAGCTGCTGCTTTAGCTTTTCCCACACCTGGGGAGGGGGGACCCCCACACATGAGAAACAACTTTCCTGTGATCTTCACATATGTGCTTCCTTACACATACTCAGTGCACGTGCAGGGGCACGTGGGGTGGAGCCGAATATGTGAGAGAAATGGCCATGCGTGGATTTTACCTCCTTTCCTACAAGCTCTGTCTAATCTGGGGCCCTGCAGATATGTGGGGTTACAACAGGCAACGCTGCATCTGCTGGAAAACTGGATTTGTAGTCCAGTGCGCTTGAAGGTCCCCTGGGATAACTCCTTTGCAGGTTCCTGTGTTTAAAAGTAAGCGGAGTAACTCAGCTCTTAATCAGCTTCCTGTGTTCCTCTTGTGCTGTGCAGGGTTGTCTGCTTTACTTAGGGGCATAATTCCAGTCTTTGCATACTTCAGTCACTTTTGCACGTTATCATCTCTGCTTCTGTATGTGGGATGGAGTCTTTTGTAACTAGGCTCTGGAGTGAGGAAAGAGAGGGGCCGTCTGTGTTATGGGTGAACTTCAGAATCTCTGACTTGATCACTCTTTGCTGAGGACCCCAAGAACTGAATCAGTGTTTTGATTCTTTTGATCTCCCCCCCCCCCCCCCCCAGTTCATACAATACCAAATCCTTACTTGGGTTTTTTTCCCTAAAAATAGTCTCCCAGAAATCTTAGGGCTGAAGAATGAGTAGAAAGAATTAGGTGTTAATTAATGCAGTAGGTTTTTACATGAATGGTCTCTCAGGTGGAATGGCAATCTGTTCACGTAAATCAGCAATCATGAATATGTTCTCTGTAACCACATGATTAGAGTTTTGTGGTGACTGGCTTGTAATCATGACTTCTCAGCGATGAGACCCAAAGTAGTTGGTAACTGTGTGCTTTACAGTACTGTAATAGGGATGTGTTGATAGCAGTGAGAGTCTTAACTGAAGTTTAAGACTGCTTATGCAATTTGTTGCAAGAGGTATGCTAATGTTATGTTCTCTGGCAAAAATATCATGAAGGAGAACCTTTCCATTTCATCGGCAGTATTGGATTTAAAACAGTAAGCAACAGATTTGTCTATAATTTGCAAAAATGGAATGCTGCTAAATTACTCAGAGTATTTTTTTGTGTGTGTTGTTATAGATTGAATTCAAGAGGCGCTTCCGGAAGTAAGAGGAACGGTGATCAAAGCTTGGCAAAGGAGGATGAGTACAAGGGAGAACATCAGTTCAGCCCCTGGATTTTGTCCAGTTTTGACACCATCTGTGATTGCTTTAGGGAAGCACTTCAGCTGTTCTAAGTTTGGGCTATTGCTTAAACTTACAAAAAGCATATTTGACCTCAGAGGACAGAAGTCGCACTGTCATTTTTTTATTCCAATCTGTTTTATTTGTATGTTTATTTATTAGTGGGGGTTTTAAGTTTTCAAGTTACTTCTGAATGTAGATCTTTTGAGAGACAATGAAGTGCAGAACAAACTTGCTTTGGTGAATTATGTATGCTGCTGTAGAAGGAGGAAGAAATTGAAGAAAGAGGAAAACGGAAAAATGAAGTAGTTTACCAGGATACAAACTTTTCATATTGCTTTCACATACTGCTTTACAACAGTTTTCATCTCAAAAAGTGAAAGGCTATTATGAAATGAATGTACGAAATGTATCTTGCTATGTTGAAGTATTGTACCAATATCCTAATGAATGAGAACACCCTCTCCAAAGAAAGCAGTGGCTTTGAATTAAAATTCTGGATTGTTTTATTGTTTATTCAACATTCATTTGACAGGTGGTATTATATTTGTATTCAGTAGCAATCGATCATATCAGATTTTGTATCCTTACTTCACAAACAGGAAATCTTAGTTGACTGGCTCTCAAGGAGTACAATAATAAAAAAAGTTATGTTCTTTTTTACCTGGGATTTGTTGGAAGAACCATACTAAAGACGATTCCTTGCACTTCTTTGTTTAGATCTGGTCCTTGCCCATAATGTTTCTTACTCTGGTTTTACTTGACTTTGTTTATGTTTTTTTGAAACCTTTTCAAACTCCGTATCAAATTACTCTATATAGAATGTCGTAAAGTACTTAAGAAATATTGGTAAAATTACCCAATTATCATTAGGTTTTTTAGGTAATGTCCTACACAATATTTTCCATACTCCTAAAATCAAAATTCTTTCTTCTGACAACAGTGATTTAAATAAATACACACATTATAAAGTCTCATAGAACATTTAAACTATGTAACAATTACTTTTTTGTCAGCTTAATTAGATATTCTGCTCTTGTGTTATTTGGAGTCTTAATATAACAAGATTTCTAAAACCCATTTTAGAATCAAAGCTCTTGATCTATTCATCTACAATATAAAATTCCCTAATTATTAATTTGATATGGTAATATATGCTATGCTTTTTAATCTAGATATTCTGTTTTGAAGGATGTGTAATCTTCCAAATCAATCTAGTTTTGCATGAAATAAAATTCATTATGTTCCAATTAAAGTCAAATTAGACACAGCACAGTGCATCTTGAAATATTAAATATTTGAATGCAGTTCTATACATTCTTATCCTGACAAGTTACGGAAGGTCTTTGTAAGATTTCAGTTCTTACTCTAGCCATATGAAAATGTCTAAGTATCAACTTGGCTCCCCTGCTTCTCAGGTTGAGAGAAGAGCTGATGGGCAATTTAAGAAGTCCAACTGTACAAAATTACCAGCTATGAGAACTGCAACTATAGCCATCCTGGTATAAGTGCAGTCTCATATCTGGGACAAATGTGACCAAATTATGACAAGGGACTGTCATAAGTAGATATTTGAGCACTTATATTTAGGACTCTCAGACAGGATGAAGGGCAAGAGCATTTCTGGCTTCCTTCTGTTTTATCAATGAAAGAATACCTTTTTCCATTCCTGAGCAGTTTCATGTTCTAGAATGAGAATTTGGACTAAATATTAAATAATATACTGAGTGTATTGTGATTGGTTCAACACTTGTACTTCAACACTGAAGTATACAAAAAAAGGTAGAAGGGTTGGTTCTATCTCCAACTTCTTGATTTTTTACAACTCAGAGGAAAAACTTGATATCAGGTGATATTTGATAATGGGGGATATTTACTGAAGCAATAGCAACTTACCATGCATAATCCTCAGCAAGTCTGCAGTATTTTACTTCTCAGACTGAAGTGGCCACTGGAGTAATTCAGCATACCGCCTAATGCTTAGAAATGCCTTATAGTGTACATTGGTTATTAAAATAGAGGCTTGTTCTAGATGTTGCAATTGTGACAAACAGTAGATTTAATTTGCAATCTTATAACACTTTGAAAACAAAGGAAGTTAACTTCTGGTCTCTCCACATTTTGAAAATATTCCATAAGAAGTACTTGGACCTTGTGTGAGCACAACATCTCTCTGCTGTTCATTAAAGTAGCTTGATTTTTTTCATGTCACTGTGCTGATGCTGCTAACCTAATGCTGCTGGTTTAACAGTTGCTTTAATAAGTCAACTTAAATCAGCAGCATCTTTTTTCAGTTTTACATGGAAGTCTAAAAAAATATGTGGCTGCTTTAATTAGTAGCAAAGAGGTGCTGAAGCAGTTCTTCCGAATCATTCTCAAAGCATGCATAGCCCTTGTAAACATGTACAGAATTACATTTTTAAGCTAAAATCTGATGCTATGAGGAAATATTTTATATTTCATGCATCCCCAACCGGATGGTTCACAGATTTGTTGGAAGAATATGGTTATGGGAATTTTAAAAGCTGGAGCCTTGATACATCTGAAAGATAAAGACACAACATTAGGGAAAATCAACTATACTTACATATCTGGAAGCTAGCCCTACTGGACTCTATGGAGCTTACATCTGGGTTGACCCATGTAAAGTAAAATTGCCCTTGAGTCAAAGTGATGATTACATGGATATGCACATGTACTTTGTTGGCCAAACTGGTTTGCCACTGCCTTTTTGCAGAATATTTCCAGTCTAGTCTTCAGCCCTGTAAATTCCATGCCAGAATCTCACCCAAAGACTAGTATGTTCTACCCACTTACCTTCCATGTCCTGAAAAGGTAACCAGATGCTGCCATATCTTGTGGCACTAATATAAATAGTATCATGTTTAACACTCCTTTTATATATGCCCCTGATTCAGAATTTAGAAAAGAAGCTATGGTGAATTAGTAACAGTGGGTGGTTTGCACATATGCATTTATGTATTTTTACCCGTTCTCTATGGTGCTCACCTGACACTCTATATAATATTCTAGTGAAAATTAGCTTTATACTGATGTTGCAAACAAATGGGTGAAAAATAATATTCTGTTTCATACATTTGCTTTTCAAGAATACAAATGACAAGGTATTTTAAGTTTCTGGCAGAAAGGAAATCGTCCCATGTTTTCTATGTTATGTCCTGAAAAAAAAATCTGTTAATTAAAAAAAAACTCAGTTGCAAATACTGGCTTTTGCAGATTAGTTGCAGTGATGTGATTTCTGGCATTGTGAGCTGAAACAACATAATCAAACCAATGTATATAAATAAGATTCAGACCAATGTATGTAAATACAGTTCAAATGATTTTGGAAAAATGTGATTTATTTTTCAATATAGATTCCATTTCAGATAAAGAAGCACCTATTGGAATGTTTAGCTATGATGCAAAATATGAAATCTATGAGGTATACTAAAACTTGGTTTTGGATTAGGAATAAACTGCTGTAAATCTCATTATGTTCAACAGAATTTACTTATCAGTAGGGTTGATTGCACTGGAATTGGGCAGAATTTTCATGGTCAACCTAAAATGTTTAGAGAACAGGTATCACTAATAGGAAATGTGAGTTAGCACTGTTCATAAATCCAAAAGGCATGGGCTTAATTAGAACTATCCATATCTAGAGTGCAAGCATCTGGATAGTTTTTTCTGTATCCTGTCATGTAATAGTCATTCAGATTTTTGCAGCCCAGATATGGTACTAAACAATACAACAGTTTTACCATGAACATCAAGATCTGTGTTGGCGACCGACAGAGACAAATGATTTACTACTATGCAAATATAATGGTTTCAACCTACATCTAGAAAAATGAGTGAACTGGATAGAAAGACTTTATATAGGGCTGTTGTTTGAGTTATAATTGTGGACTAGATTCCAAATGATTTTCAAGTGAATCTGAAGCATGGTATCAAATACGATTTTATCCTATTTCAGTTAGGATTTCCCAAAAACAAACCACCACTATCTGTGTGAGCTGACACAAGATAACTCTTACAATGACTTCTGAAACCAGTCTGCCAGATGCAACACATGAAGTATTTGCAGAGCTGTTTGATCCCTACATTTCTCATTTATCATTATGTGTCTTTTTAACAATAGCCATGCTAATAATGCTTCACTTGGAGTAATTCAAATATGGAGTGGGGAAGTGTCAAGTTTAAGCAGGCACATCCTTTTCAGTGAAAATGAATCACAGCATCTTCAAAGCTAAGCAACTATGCCATACACCAGATAAAATTCACTTCAATATCATTCTTTGATATCCATGGATTTGGAAAAAAAGGTTGAATAATATTCAAATCATGTATTTTTTGGTCAATGACATTTACATGATCACAAAAGGGGATCTTACACATGAGACTAATTCCTTTGGTTTTGCTTAGTTTTCTAAAGTAGATACAGAACCTACATCTGTCAGAATATTAATTTACACTGCAAAAATTTCTTTTTATTTTCTTGAGCACATAAAAAAGAAATTATAGCCATGTTGATCCATGGAGGAAAAAAAATTCATAACTGAGTGATATTAAATAAACCAAATAGCACAACTGTATAGACAACCCTTTGCAGAACTCTTGTTATTACAAGTTATTACAAGCCAAGTTACTACAAAAAATGAGATAGGGAAAAGGAAGAAAATCCAAAATTTAGGGTAGACATTTTAAGCTGTGAAGTCTGCAATACAAATCAATCCTAAGATGGAACTGGGGACTAAATGTGGGACTTCTCCTTCTTGTACCTAACCCTGAAATGCACATTTCAGTGGTCAGCTTCATCACTTTTCTGTCATGTCCCCATGACACTGTCTTCATCTCATCCTCAGCCCATAAATGAGTCAGAATTAAGTTGCCCTTAGCTATACCAGCATTCTATTCCTGCCCTGCTCCCCCATTGCAAGGGGGCTATTCAAGAACAGCCTCCTTTTTACAGCCTGTGTAAAATCCATTCAGTTTTGTCATCCATTACTTTGGAGAGAATTCAGGAGATTGCAATGACTCAACAGAGGCAACAGAGGCAGGATAGGGATCAGCAAAATGGGCAGCAAGGGTCCAAATAGTTTCCTGTTGACCCAAGGATGGGTGGAGAACATATTACTCAGGGGGGAGAGACACTATGATATATTGTGGCATTAGTTACACCTAATCTTCAGGGACAGAAGAAATTTCCTTACCCCAGCTGTTTGAACAGCATGAGAGAAGCTAAAAATGAACTAAATCTCATATGTCCTATTCCTGATCCTTCTTAAGGACTGCAGTCCTATACATTCTTACCTGGGAATAGGTTCTGTTGAATTCAGTTATGCTTACTTCTGAGTAGATGTTCATGCCAACCTGCTGCCACTAAGTACAGGATTATGAGAGTTGATTTGGAGGGCACCACATTTGGAAAGAGGGCATAGGATGACTAAAAAACAGTAAGAGATGACAGCAACATAGTTAAACTCTGCACTCAGTTGGCCACCCACAGTACATGATTCTGTCTTCCCAACAGTGATGTCACATCTGCTTCTGATAGTTGTTCATTCAGTCAGGCTTTTATTATGTCCAGAAGAGTAACAAAGACAAAATGAAGATTCATCCACCTCAATCAACAGATACACGATAGAGTCAGGAAGAGGAAGAGAGCACCCATAATGCCAAAGTTCCAAGCTGAATTTTATATCTCACAGAGGTAGAATTTAATATGACATAGAATATGAAAAATGTTGTGGGTTACGTGATGCTTAAAGAAACCATCAAGTCACAAATTAACTGGAACATCTTGTTTCCTGTAAGAAAAATAGAAAAGAAACAGAAAACATTAGGTTTTGAAGCAAAGCATTGTCTGTTCAAACATGATGATTTTATGCACCCTAGCATCTGAAGTTGCTTTCAGCTTGCATCAGAACATTCTGACCTCTATTTTACACAAGGAAATTGAATGTAAAGGGAATTGCTTAGTCACACAGCAGTCAGTCAGTAGGTGGGAGGAGTGTACAGCCTTCCTTTTGGATGATGTATGATAACTCTAAACTACCCTTTCCCCTCCCCTCTTTACTAAAAACAAAGTACATTTTTTTCTGATAAGGCAGATGTCTCAATATATACATAACTTTTTCCATTAAAAAGCAGTGCCTCACTTCATATATTCTTTCAGCCATCAAATAGCCCTTATAGAATTGCCTTCCACAAATTATGCTGGGGAAAATTCAAAGAGTTGTACTCCCAACACATTAAAGGGCACCAGCTTAGAGAAGACTGTGATAGAAGATTTACACTTACTGCATCCATATTTTGTTGATTTAGTGCCTGCCATTTACCATCAACAACAGAATAGCAAACTTGAGGTCAAAGCAATAGAGAGGAGAGAAAAGAAAATGTAACAGGATTTTATTTCTAGTCTGAGGACAAAGAAGGCAGAACAGAGCAGGGAGCTCACATGCTACCATTTTATTTCTGCTACAGCTGATTTAAAGTGCTGAGAGATATCTTTAAAGCTGTAAATATTTTCAGATTGAGTTGTTTAAGGGGGTCTAAGTGTAAAGTTACATGAAAAGGGTTAGACTGTTAAGATTGGAATGGATGCTCAGCGATGAAGGGCTACTGTAAACATTCATCAAGGTAGTGGCATAAAAACAGTGGTGGTAGTCTCAGTTTGTCCCAACTATTTTTAACTAATGAAAATGGTGATTTATTATAGAGATGCATAAGCTAGAAATATCTTATCTGGGCTACAGACAACAATTAGATGGCAGCCAAGAGATACAGGAAACTCTAAGCCTTTGATGCCATTTTGTGTTTATCTTGATTTTTGGAGCCCAAGATTGTAACCCTACACAAGCTATGTTCCAGGGGCCTCCCCAAAACCTTGACTTTCTCCCCAAATTTCTGCTAAAGGTAATTTTAATGTGACAGACTACTGATCTTTCTAATTAACATTATTGATCCTTCCAAACCTCTGGTTTGCACAAATCTGGGTTCAACACCTTATCCCATGTTCACATGTTGTTAGAGCTTTTCAGGAGCTCATTAACTTCCAGCTCAGCTCTGGAATAGAAAAAGATGCTGAAAAAGTCTTAATTATGTAATTAAGAGCCTTGAAAGATGCTGAAAAAGCCTTAATTATGTAATTCTGAGGTAGTGCCTTGGTGAAAACTCTCCCCTCATCCTGCATTTCAGTTCCTTACCTTTCTCCACTCCCTGTCACTTCATTGCCATTCACTGTGATTTTTAACCTCAGCAGAGGGTGGCTTTGCTCTTCCTCATGACCAGTTGGAGGGAGTGTGGTTGGCTTATGGAGAGCACTGAGCATTCCAAGGTTAGAAACACATACAGGACATTATGAAAATGCTTCTGAGAGTTTGAGTGGATGAAGCCAGGGGCTATGCAGAAGTGCCCTATGTATATATACTATGTAAGTATAACTATATTGACTATATTTAGATATACATTCAAATCAATTTTTTACTTGCCTCACTTGATTCTTTATCTTGGCACTGCTACTTTTTTGGATTGTGGCCTTCAGCATGTTTCTCAAATGTGAAGTAAATCCTGCGGCCTGCAAAAGTTGTGCACTCCTGATGCATAATGTTAAATGCTCCAACTTTTACTTATTATATTAGGTCAGATGTTTATCGGGTTTTTTTAAATAGTTTTATACATTCTTATTGCAAACTGCCACAAGAGACCTTTGGCTTAGAATTGGAATATATAAACACAAAAATAATTTTAAAAGGCTACACCAAAGTCTTTGTGCTTCAACATCTTTGTTAGCCTGAGACACAGTCACTATAGTCATTTTATCCACTAGCCTTCCAAAAGTAAAAATAAATGTGTAACAGTCTAGATCAGAACTAGGCAACCTGTGGCACTCCAGAGGTTGCTGAAGTACAGCTCCCAGCATCCCTCACCAGTAGTCAGAGTTGCTGGAAGTTGTAATTCAACATCTAGACAGCCACAACTTGCCTCTTCTGGCATAGATGTTCCTCATTCATGTCATATTTTAACACGAGAATACTAGTCAGTTATTACTATTAAATACCAAAGATAACACTAAACATATTAAGCAATTCTTCATAATCATGACAAGCATTATTTGTCATTATTTTGTTTTGATGTAACATGGCAGAAGGAGAAAGACGTGGTACTGTTCTGAGAGTTTAGTTTAATGTACACCATTAATACCTTGCAAGGCTAACTTAAAATCTATCAGTACAATATCCTTGTCCCAATGCAGAGATTTTCCACATCCTTACATCACCTCTATCTTACAGTTATCTCATTGGTAAGGCAGCCCCCACAATGGTTTAAGGTATGGAGTGGTGTTTTCCATGTTATGCCAGAACAAGACAATCTGTGAAGACAATATTTTTGTAAGTGTTGGGGATAGAAGATGGAATTACTGCAATTATTCTTGATTAAGCTGTGAGGGAGACCTTCTGCAGCGACTTTATTCACTGTATTTTAAGGAAGGTCAATCTATTCA